GATGAAAATACCCACACTACTGAGAAGCTGCAGTTGGTCAGCAGTCAGGACATAACATTTCTAAGGTAAAATCGCCCCTGGGAAACAACTATCAATGCAAATCTTGTAATTCATTTTAAAAGTTGACTCTGTTCATGGAAAAACACAAAAGCTATTTTTGTCAAATTTCCTTATTGAAAGAGTAATCAAAAAAAGACTACTGGGACCTTACTGTAATATTTTCTTTCTTGATAGCCAAGTATTTTAATACATTGTTTATGTAACATATTCCCTATTATCAGAATCTCTTTATGAATACATTATAAGTATTGTAAAAATTTAATGAAGAACAGCCTATAAAAACTTTTATCATTTTTGAAAAATCAGTGTCAAAGTAGCTACTCAGATAAAAGCCAATTTATTTAATTGCACAAATATTTAAGTATAAATTAAATACAAGATTTTGTAGCAATTATGCTAAGCAAAAAAAAATAAGCCACATACAGGCTAAATATTGCATGATTCCATGTTTATAAAATATCTAGGAAAAGTACAATTATAGAGCTCAAAACTGGATGAGTGGTTTTCAAACTGTGAGTGGGTGCAGGAATACACTGTCAATGGGCATAACAAATCTTCAAACTGTGTCTTAAACCCGAATTTGTAATGAGAGTTGCACAAGTGGAAGGTTTTATTTTATTTAACTTGCAAGGGATGAATTTTGTTAGATATATATTATATCTAAATAAAATGATTTAAAAAGATTCTGTAGAATGAAATATGGTGTCATTCTACACCATGTTTCTTAGAGCTATTCCACTTCCTCAAAGTCTCATAGACAAGTAGGGTACATTTGATCAACTAATGTAAGTGCCACTGAAGAGCTTCACAAGTACATTAGTGTGCTTCCAGGGGTGACAAGGCCTCAACTCCCTCCTTCACTGGGGTGCTATGGTGAGACTTGGAGCATCATTTCCTTCAGCTAAGAAGCTTCTTCCATTGATTTCTTTTACTATATACATAGCATGTTTTGCTGATCAAAGGCTCCTTCCTGAATGAAAATGAAGTAGACTATCAACACATATGGGGGAGCTAAAGCAGAGCAGAGAAGGACTTTTATAGACATTTATAGCTGTAATTACAACATAAGAAAGAAGAGAGCAAATGAAAAGCCAAATTTTCCACCTGAAGACAGTGTAAACAAAATAAATAAATGAATAAATAAACTAGACCTAAAGGAAAGGATGTGAATAATGTAAAGTGAAAATTATTTAAAAAGATAATATGGACATGAGAACCAATGAAATGAATGTTTACAAAATATCAAGAAAAATGAGCAAAACTTTAGCTTGATTGAGAAAAAAGAAAAAAATAAACCATGCTCAGAAATTAAAGAAAAAGTATTATGGCCAACTTAAAAACAAACAGAAAAGTTATAAATACATACTGTAAAGAACTGTATGGCAATAAATTAGCTAACCTAGGTAAATTGACAAATTCCAAGAAAGATGTAAAATACTAAAACTAACTGAAGAAGAAAGAAGACCTGAAAAATAAAGATAAAAAGACTGAATTAGTAATTTGAGAATTATTCACAAAGAAAAGCTCAGGCGCAGATAAAGTCATTGGTGAAGTCTATCAAATATTGAAAAAAAGAATAGAATTTCTTCATATTCTTCCAAAAAATAAAATAGAAAAAGAAGAGGGACTATATTCAAACTCATTCAACAAGGACACTAATATCCTGATACAAAATAATAAATTTTTTAGATATATATTATATCTAAAGAGGATAATATGAACAATATATCTTATGACCACAGAAGCAAAAATCCTCAACAAAGTTCCAGCAAACCAAATCAGTAATGAAAATAATCATATGTTATAGCCAAGCAGAAATTACGCAAGGGATACAAAGTTGTTCTAATAACTGAAAATCATCTAATGTTATATGCCATTGTTAGAATAAAAACCAAAAGTCATATGATTATCTCAACAGATGCAGAAAAAGAATTTGACAAAATCAAACACTCTTCATGACTGAGAGCATTCAACAAACCTAGAAGAGAAAATAAATTCCTCAGAATGATAAGGGTTTCTCTGAAAAACCTAAAGCTAGCATCATACTTAATTCTGAAAAATTATACCCTTCCTTCCTATGATCGGGAAGAAGACCTGGATGTCTTTCCTTTCTATATTTAACTGATTTCGCACTAGAGGACAATTAGGCAAGAAAATGAAATAACAAGCATCCATACTGGACAGAAGAAATGAAATATCTCTATATTCAGATGACATCCTCTTATATATAAAAAGGTGTGAAAAAATCCATTAAAGTTAAAATTAATAAACAAGCACAGCAAGACAACAGTATGCAATATCAATATATGAGCATCAATTGTACTTCTATATGTTTGTAATGAATGATATAAAAATAAGATTAAGGAAACAATTCCAATTAACATAAATTTAAAAAGATCAAACTAGAAATACACATAACAAAAAAATACAAAATTTATAATTTAAAAATTATAAAACACTGTTAAAAAATTTTAATGTCTAAATGCATGGATAGACACCCATGCTCATGAGTCAAAGACTTATTACTAAGATGGCAATAATGTCCAAACTGTCCTATAGATTCAGTGCAATTTGTATCAGAATCTCAGTTGCGAAGCTTTGCAGACTCTTTGCAAAAATTGATACACTTATCCTCAAAATTTATATGAAATTTCAGAACAGACAAAAACATCTGGAAAAAGAACATAATCAAATGATTTGTACTCCTGATTTCCAAACTTACTGTAAAGCAATAGTATTCAAAACAGTGTGATAATGGCATAAAAGTAGACATATAAATCAACAGAATAACATTCAGAGTCCAGAGTAAATTCATGTATCACGAGTCAATTAATTTTCAAAAGGGGTAAAATAAAATTTAATGAGAAAGGAAAAGTTTCTTCAATAAATAAAAGTTTCTGAGACAATTGAATAGTCACATGCAAAAGAAACAAGTTGGACCTTTATACTATATGCACTTACACACACAAAAAAACTTAAAATGGGTCAGTTGCCTAAATGTAGGGTCAAAATTATAAAAATCTTAGGAAAAAGTCTAGAATCTAGAATATATAAGAACTCTTAGAACTTGACAACCAGAAGACAAGCAGCTTAATTTAAATAAGCGTCAAAGGACTTGAATAGACATTTCTCCAAAGACCATATACAAATGACTAATAAAGCACATGAAAAGACATTCTACATCATTAGTTACTAAACAAATGAAAATAACACAAATACCATTTTACATCTACTAGCAAGGGTATAATAGAGAGGGAAGAAGGGAGTGGGAAGGAGAGAGAGACATAAGTACTGCCGAAAATGTAGAGAAACTAAAACCCTAATACACTGCTGGCAAGAATGTAAATCATGTCACCATTGTGAAAAACAATCTGGCAGTACCTCAAAAACATAGAATTCAACATAGAATCACCATATGTCCCAGCAATTCTGCACCCAGGTATGTAAACCAAATATTAAAAATGGGGACTTGGTTACTTGAATATCCATGTTAATTATAGCATTTTTTTCACAGTAGCCAAAAAGTAGAAATGGTCCAAGCATCCATCAGCCAAAATGAACTGATAAGCAAGGTGTGAGTGAGGGGATGTATACAAACAACAGAACATTGTTCAGTTATCAAAATGATTGAAGTCCCTACACCTGCTACAACAGGTACACTATGCTACATGAAAGAAGCCAGTCAGCTCAAACATTAAAAAGTGATGAGCCAGAGATGATCTATTTCTTACTGGGTCATCTAAAGGGAAGTGGTGTATACTCAGGAATTGGTTTTTCAGTTGAGCTTCTTAATGTCACAGATCCAGCTCTGCGAAGAAGGGAGGAGACTGCAGGCAGAGGAGGAGCAAGTACTGTGACAGGAAGGGGCTGGCAGATGTTTGAGGGGTTGTATGAAATCCAGGGCACACCAAGGGCAGTGGACCATGGGAACAGAGGGAGAAGAAAGGTGCCAGAGGTAATAAGAGACAGAGGCAGACATGTAGGGCTTTGTATGGCTGGGTAAGAAGTGTCAACCTGCTTCTTCTCAACACCATAATGCTCTGTGCACATCTCTCCCGCTATGCTCTATTCTGCTACACTGCCCTCTCTAAAGAAATGCACATTTCTGGTTCATTGGTTCATTCTTCATCTTCAGTGACTAACCAATGCTAGTTAGGACCTCAGCAAAGGATTTCTGGAAACACAGCCTACATACCAATGTCAAGAAAAGAGAAAACCCTCTCTGAAAATGTAAGCTATTTTAAATAAAGATCAAATGGAAATAAAACAATGTTTTTGAGAAAGGCAATGTTCAAAGGAGGGACAAGCTAGGGTCAACTGGATCTCTCAAGCTATACTGGTTGTTTCTCACAGAGACTATGGTGTTTCCCAAGTTTGAATCCGTTGAAGAGAACATTTTCCATATTTAATTAAACTCATGCCCAGAATTTGAAACATTAAACTGTCAGCAAAAACAGCTTTATTGTCTCTGATTATTGTATAGCAGTCATTAATTAGTTCTCTAACTCAAGTTTACTCACAGAAATATTCTAAGTCATTGTGCAGCACTCCAGTATCAGAATCTACATTTATCTCACCACAAAACCATTAACATAAAAAGAGTGAAGTTATAGAGTGCATCCCAGTAATTCAAACAGGCTTATGCACTACCTTTTAAGGAACACGTGGCAACACTCATGCTTTATTTATAAATGACTTACAAACATTTTACTGCATAATGATTAGCTTCACACCTGCATGTTGAACTCTGTTTGTACTACACAGGGATTCTGCCACAGTCCTAATTAGAGCATCATTATCCAGAAAAGCGCACAGCAATTTCTAACACAGGTGAGACAAAGCTAGTCAAATAGCAGTTTCGAAGTGAAATACCCTACAGTTTTGCAGATAAATAAAGCACGTTTCTTTGGAAGAAAAAAAATTTTTTTTGACTAGCTTACTGTGGCCTTGAGGCTTCTGCCTGGTCTGTCTGCAGTTTTTCTCCTCCTTCCACCTCCATTGTGCAGTAAACAATTCGATTTGGAGCAACTGATTTCAAACCTTGCACTTCCATTATGACAATCTAAAGAAAAAAATGATTTTAAAATAATATGTCAAGTTGATAGTATTCAGCAACTCACAAAAATAGCAACATAAACTGCAATTATGAAGACCCATTGAAAAATTTGATAACATTGCTAGGATTTTGCCTTCTTTATAATTTACCTCTATTTATCCAAGGTATAGTAAATGACTATTTTGAGGCAGTTTGGTTTCTGAAGAAATAACTCATTATTGCTCTTAAATAAAAGTAAGGTTAAAGATCCTAAGAATTAGTCTCAGCAAAGTAAGTGAACTTTCAACTCAGATCTTAACAAATTAGAGCAAGTTTGAATGAAGTAGGGCAAGCACAAATAAAATTCAATGAAAATAAGAGGAGTACATGCTGTGCTCCACCGAGAGTGCCATGGTGCATTTATTATCAGAGACATGGTCAGGTGATACCAATTAATTGATATCAACACATGACTAAACTTTTATATACTCACATATTTTAAGTGACTATTATGATTCATAAAAGAATTTTATCTATGGCTGCTGTATTTCACATTATCAAAATATAATAGAAACTATAATTTGCCACTGAACTTTTTAATATTAGCCTGATGAAGAAAAAAAAATTTTCAATCCATTAAAGGGATGTAATAATTTAATGCAGAACACTGGAAAATCATGGGAAAACTAATATCCCTTTTATATCTATAACTCTTGGGTGAAAGGAAAACATTTTTTAAATTGAGCTTTTTGTTTGCTTAAAAGGCTATCAATCCTAAAATACCATAACTCAACATTCTTATTGGATGTAGACATAAAATGTGAATGTTATTTTCTACAGTTTTTTCAATCAAAATTTGCATTATGAACTTTTATAAATTCTTAAAACAATTTATAAAATCAATTCAAAGGCATTTTATGTATATGAATGAATTTCATTATTGATTGCATGTTATGATTATACAAATAACAGTATTCACACTACATAGCAATCAAAATATATACCCAAAACATCATTGCTATCACTTATTAATCATTTAACATATAAATACAGACCTAATTTCATAGAACTGTGATGTGAACCTTTATACAAACAATTTCAAAGAAATTGTATAAATAAACTGCTAACTTTCTAGCTCTAGAAAAAGAAGAAGGGTTATGTTTGTAAATACAAATGCATATTTTGTTTTGTTTTTATTAAAACCTGGAAAACTGATCACTAAAATAAGAAAGATCAAACTCAGAAAGGCCTCCTTCCTCAATCAGGGTTCTGTAATTTTGTCACACTGAAATGTATAGTAATATATTAATAAAAATAAGGACTGAGTGAAAATAGACTAAGAATTATTGAAGAATTGATGGAGAATAATATCATCTTTCACAGATGCTATAATATTCATGGAAATTGGGATAAAGTACTAAATCCTGATTTAAAAAAATAGTTTTTTTTTTTTTCCTTTTGTGAGGGATACCAGGAATCAAATTCATGGCCTCATGCAAGGCACTCTACTACTGAGCTACACTCCAATCCCCCCAAGTTAGGTATTTCTAATAATTCAAGTGTCTAATTAGTAACACTGAAATTGGGTACTTTTAGTAAAACTAATCAGATATTGAGAAAAACGAAACATATAACAATGCTGATTAAAAACCAACTACATTTGGACTTAACCACCATGACTCCACTTTTTAAAATCAATGACAAATTTTTTCATGGTCACTTAATATGGGTCACTTAATACTTGTGTCCCACAAGTCTAGAAATGCTAACAGTATTGGTTCATGTTTTGGATTACTGTTCACACACTGCAACTTCTTCTGTATTTTATTTAATAGAGTGTGGGTAAGAAGAAAGGAGACATCTGCTTGGTGTTATTTCTATCCCCTCTAATACAAGATACTGTAAAAAACATCCAAAACCACAAAACAAACAGCATTCCAGCCCTCAAAACAATACTCCATCTATGCCAGGAAGGTTTTATCCTGCAAAATTGCCACTTTCTAAAGATGTAAGTTCTGTGATGAATTTATACATTTAAATACAACAACACAACTTAGATCTTCCAAGAGCAGGGAAACAAAGCTAGTCTCTCAATCACTAGTGATAAAGACAGCCAAGAATACCATGGACCATCAACTAACACAATTTTCTATTTCAACCAATTTCCGAAAAAACTTGATAATGGAACTTCAGAAAATAAAATTGATCTATGGTGCATCTTCTCTTCTCAATCTCTCTGTGGCTGATGTAATAAGGATATAACAGACAAAGCTACCGGTCTTAGAAGCAAAAAGAAGGAAGGCACTAGTTAACAGGCTTCTGAGCAATATATCGACCAAGGAGTTATGTGACAATAAATTAAGCATGTGTATTTCGTGAGATAGTGATGCTGGCAGTATGGCAAAATCAGGGACCATATATCACACATACAGAGGAAGGGCTGCTAGTCTAATGTCAATGAAGAAACTCAATGTGAAAATCCAACACTATCCATGCTATATATATATATATCTCCAGTACAACTTATGGACTCATAACTTCATAGATGAATGTTTGCTTCTCTAGTTTTACTTCAGTATTTAATTTTAACATATCAATGCATGGTTTAGTTTTCTGAGAATTAGCTTCTGCTTTGCTGTATTATTCTTTCTAAAGACTTCATGAATGGAAACATAAATCTGTATGTTAGATGCTTTTTGAATACCATAAAAATCTTAATTCAATAAATATTTATTGACTGAAATGTATGCCCAGTACTGGTTAGGTGCTTTTGATATCTCAGAAAAAAAAACAACAAAGAAAAATGTGTATTTTTCTTGAAGGTCATACTGGAGAAGGGAAAACCAGATAATAAGCGTAGTATATAAGTGAACTATGTGTTAGGCAATAAATGCTGTGGCAAAAATTGAGCTTGGTGAGAGAATGGAGAGATGGGCAGTAATTCTACAGAGAAGGTGAAATGTGAGCAAAGTTTTTCAAATGTTCACTTTAATTCCTTATACATTATTCCTAGGATCATTATTCAATTCTTTAAAAAGACTCCTCCACTGAAGCCGTTTGAAGCCTGACTAATGAAATGTGAGAGCTTTAAATTGGATTAAATACTTGCCTCTCTGAGTTTTCATTGCTGAAATCTGGGGTCTGAGGAACAAGGCACCATGGGCTTGCCTTATGTCTTAGGCTCTTCAAACTAGAAGACCAGCCAGTTATTCTCTCAGGTATTGTAGGGATATGTACTGGAGAGTTGTCACTTAACATAATTTCATTTTGTTCGTAGACATGAAACTCCTAGATAAAATACTATGAATACCTGAGAATGGATTTCTTTATGCTAAGGTAGCAAAATATCTGCCTAAGACAGACACAATAATAGAGGCTGTCAAAACACTTTTATAAATATGCAAGTTTCTCAGACCACACAGATGCAAGTTTTAGCTTTATTCTTCTAACATCATTATATTATAAACTGAGCTGCTCCCTTTAACATAGTGACAATAAGCTACAGAATAACAATTCATAGTTGCATTTACACACTAATTCATAGTCTAATTTTATTTTCATGAGAGAAAAGAGAATGCCTAAGTTAATTATTTATAATTGTTGAAGACTTTTAAACAATGAGAAAATGTGCTGAATTGGTTTGTTGTGTTGTGAATGCTTAAATATGTAGATAATAGATTTATACATCATAAAATTTGCTCTACAAATTAATTTTCCATTAATTTGTATGCTGAATTCTTATTAAAATGTAACATTGTAATTAAGTTATTGATTTTTTGGTGTAAAATTTAAAAAAATAAAGCATTAGCACCTTTTGAGTCAGCAAGATTTGTGACAGGAAATGATGAGAGAATTCTTCTTGTAATATACTATGTAGTTTCAAATTAAACACCCTTACATTATGAGAGGAAAGAGACTGAGAAGAAATTCAGTAGGAAGGCCACTTGGCAGAGTCATTAAGTGAACCAGAATGAAGTTTTGAGTTCAAAGAAAGCCACACATTTCTACTCTGACACTAGGCTTAATTCATTAATACACAAAGTCTGGAAGTTAAAAAAGTGAGTAGGCAATTGTTTTTTTCTTCAAGCTTGAAGTTGGAAAAAATGGAAGAAAAAGAGCAACTGTAGACATTTGCTTTTTCTGCTATTGACTAAGCAGATTTAATATCAACTAGAAATCGAAGACACTACCTCTTAAGACTGTGTGTACTTTTTCAATCAGCAAATGCAAATAATAGTATTGGGGACCAGTGGAGAGAGAATGTGACAATATAAGGAAGGAGCTTAGGAGCTTTATAAGCATCAATAAGAATTTTGAAAGAGCTACAAATTTAAGCTATACATTGCTAGTATTTACTTATTGAACAGAAATTATGGGGAGAAAAAAAGCTGGTGTTTAAGACAAATGATTTAATACGACTCATTAGTATGATATAAAGTTTTACTTTGTACTTCATGTAAGTTCTTTCTTTTAGGTATTAAGGATTCTTGTATTATGTGTGTATGTTGAGGTATATAAACCCATATTCATATACCTAGTCATATATATAATCATATACCTAGATTAGCAAGAAGAAATGTAATCATGAAAGGTATCAATAGGCAGCTGTATCAAGAATTATCAGTGTCTTTCGTTTTCAGGGATTTGTTTAAAAAGGATGAAACTAATGTTTTAGGGAACACAATTTTAAATGCATGTCATTTGTTCTTGTTCTCCATAATATTTACTGTGCCTATAATGAAACTGGAAATCCTAGAAATGAATTTTGTATTTCTTATCATATATAATACTGAATATTGTATTGTGTTTTACTTGATTTGATTCTAGAAAGATGATTCCATAAGTGAAGTACATTAAAAACAAAGTTAATCTCAACTTGACTTTTAAATCAGATTTCCACCCAAGTGTGTTTTGGTACATACTACATCAATGAACTGACACTACTTTAACTGGCAAAAAATTGTGCCTCAAAAATTTTGATTATTTAAATCCTAATACTGCTGTTAAACTTTTGTTGTTGTTGTTGTTTGTTTGGTATGGGGGATTAAACCCAGTGGGGCTTAATCACTGAGCCACTTCTCCAGCCCTTTTAATTTTTTTCTTTTGAGACAGGGCCTTGCTAAGTCGCTGAGGCTGGCTTTGAACTTGCAATCCCCCTGCCTCAGCCTCTTGAACTGCTGGGATTACATGAACAGGCCAGTGCACTCAGCTGCTGTTATGTTCAAAGGATAATTTCCATTCATTTGTGTTCATAACCTGTTTTTCAAGCTAATGAGGAGTGATTTAACATCTCAAAACATACAACACTGCTTTAAATTCTAAACATTACCGCACAGGTCTCAGAATTTGCTGTGCAGCCTCATTTATGCAACTAGCTGTGACAAAGCCACTTACCTCTAAGGTGAATGACAGTACCACATCGGACTTTGACAACTGAATCTCATTTTCATCTCCTAGGTCCAAAAATGCAGAATTCTGTGAACGTTTTAATTTCTGTAATTTGAATTCTGGGCCACCTTTTGAAACTGGAAGGCTTTCCAAATTGGCCATTAGCAAATTCACTGAAGATCGTAACTCTTCTATGTACATATTCTCCATTTCTTTTGCTATAAATTTGGGGAATCTTCTTTCCTTAAAAATAATTTAAAAATAAAATTGTTAAAAGAGTCATATTTCAATTTTATTATAAAAAATTATATGATGCCTGCAATCCACTCTCTTAGAATTATAACACTCTTCTTAAAATGTTTCTACCCTATATTATCTGCCCTATAATATCTGTAGATATTAGTCTACAGATTTTAAAAATCTCAGGCTTTGGTAATTTTGATTATATTTCAGGATACTTTACATATCTTGTTGCTGTTCACAGTAGTACAAAATGAAAAACATTTGTGTGTGTCTGTGTGAATACACACATATATACTTTTCTGTTAAATTTATTTTTGATAAAATTTGTATATGGGACTAACAAACTCTGGAAACAGGCTTGTAATATGTCTTAGTGTATAGATGAATCTTAATGAACTATGTCTATTTTTGAAATGCTTGTAGTAATGAGTCTATAAGAAAATATTAAAAATACACTGCTTTGCTAGTTAGAAAACAAACATTTTAGCAATTACTATACATGTGCATTTTTATACATAATCATTCAAATTAAAACTCCTATTGTTAATGGATAATATGCACATATTTCTTAATTGATTAATTTTCACATTGCACATATGTGCCAAGATTCCTTATGGCCATGCTTCAGTTTTTTTTTATGTATAGACAAATTTAAAGCAAAATGCCAACTTATGAAAAAAATCCATCAAGTGAAAAAGAGGTTGACGGTATCCACTTGGAAAATTCTATGTTTTAGCTGAAGTACATAGGCATCATCATACAATTCTGTTATCTCTGCAATCAGATTTGTTTCTTTTACTTGATTAAAAGAACATTCCAAATATTGATATTTAGGTAGTGCCAAATTGACCTTAGAGAACACCATACTGGTTTATATTCCCCCAAACAGCAAATAAGAGCACATTTCCCCTCAGACTTCTACCTCTCCTTTCATCTTTGCCAACCTGACACTTGGCTTCCCTCTGTTAAAAGTAAGGGGGACAGAGTTTTACCATGCCAAGTTCAGTGTGATGTGCTCTTCACTGCCCTAAACTGCCTTAGGGATAAGAGCTCAAAGACTGCCTAATGCTCCAGAAAATCACCACCTTCATTGCAGTTTCCCTCAGCACCATCAAAACCTAAGAAACCTGTATTTCCAGCATGACTGGAACAGGTCCAGAGGGCTCTCATCCACCTGTGCCTAGTCCCTGACTGGCTTGCACCAGGTCCTTCCAGAGATGGAAAGGGACATCTGGCACCACTTTTGGAATTAGTCCCAGAGCCTCAGGCCACCTGTTTTCCTTTCCCCCAATATAACCTTCATATATTCCTTTAAAAATCATTTACACACAGTCCATACTAAAATTTCATACTTTCACAGAGAGATTAAATATCTTCATTAGTAATTAACTTTCCCAAAGAAGATTTTTAAATATCTTTTTAATACTCCTCTGGAGTTGGAAGCAACATCCCTACACAGTAAGTTTGCATCCTCAGGAAAAAAAAAAAACAAAAAACACATAATTACCCAGTACCTCTGTTTCCTTTGGAATGCAAAGTTGTTGTGGAATGGTTTTTCAATAGAGACAAAGAAGAAAAATAAAATAAGCCATAAACACAGACTTTTAATTTTTGAACTAATATCAAAAGTTGTCTGGAAAAGCATCCAAAACTCAGAAATAAAACAGGAAAATGAAAGGGCATTTCCCTTTAATGTCACACTGGGCAAAGCCTTTCCAATGGTCACAGCATGAAATGTATTTAATTTAACTTGCTGTTTATTGCTGATTAAAGTTCCAGACAGAGAAGTTACATATTATCTTGTAGAATTTTGTCTAGGAAAGAAGCAAATGTTTGTCTGGTGAGTAAAATAACCCAATAGTTACAATTTAAATCTGTGTAAGAAATTTAAAACTTTTGTGTCTAATCTATGGGTCTTAAGAATGGGCCCTGCTTCCACAAATACCTAGTTTCTCAAATGCTCTTTGGACTAGTTTTAATATGTAGCTGGCTTACTCATTGATTATACATGAAATTTTTTTGTTCATTTTATATTTGAATGAAAGTCATAACTTTCCATTGAAAATCATAACAAAATAAAAGGCAAATATATCACATATTTTAAAGTCCTGAGAATGCACTAATTTTTTTTTTCAATTTCCATGGTGTTATTTTAAGGAAAATCTCGCATTAGCACATGAAAAACAAACAAAAAAAAAAGATGTCTCTTTAGCGTTAGCTAAAAACACCTCATTCAGTCTGTGAAAGAGGAGACTGGCAGGCATCAACCAAATTGACAGCTCTATCAGTATTTTTAAGCTTTGGGGGGAAACAGACTACAGTAGAATTTTATTTTTTCTCTCAAAATACTCTCTCAACTCTCAAAGCTTTCAGGTTTATTGACAACATTTTATTAACTTTAGCTTGCTTATGTTGCCCCCTATTTGGAAACAACAAAATCAATTGTACTTTAAGGCTTCAGTCTGTGGATGGATAGAGTCGGAGAATATTATGCTAAGTGAAATAAGGCAATTCCAAAAAACCAAAGGCTGAATGCTTTCTCTGATATGTGGATGCTAATTCACAGTAAGGTGGGATGGCACTAGGGAAGAAGAGAGTGACTTTAGATTAGTAGAGGGGAGTGAAGGAGGGGATGGGGTATGAGAATACGGAGTAGAATGAAACAGATATTATTAGCTTGTATACATATATGACTTGTGTACATATATGCATTACCAATGTGATTCTTCATGTACAATCAGAAAAATGAGAAAGTATACCCCATTAATGCATGTCAAAGTGCTTAAATGCATTCCACTGTCACGTATAACTAATTAGAACAATTTTTTTTAATTACTAAAAATATCAACTTCAGACCAATATACATGTTAAATTTGATCTTTTCAAATTAGAATGAAAGTGTATTATGAATTAAAATGCATTCTGGGGTCATATATAACAAATTAGAATAAAATGAAAAGAAAAAAATTAGAATAGAAAAAGACACAGGGTTAATTTCTAATTGTTCTATCCTGTATACCACGGTTTAAATATTTGAATTTAGTTCCCTGTACAGCATGACACCCTAGTGGCCCTAGAACATGGTATACATTAAAATAACAATAGTTGCTTCAATAAAAAAAATTTCCTATTATTCAATCTTAGTCACTTTTCCTTAAATGTGCTTTGCCTTCCACCAGATGATGTCTGGGGTTGGTACCACTAGAATAGTCTCTCCAAGCTGATCTCAGCTCTGTTTTCCATGCCTATGCAGGTTGTATATCCCAAATACAAAAACATGAACTCTAAAATGCCCCAACATCTGAAACATTTGAGCCCTGACAAGATGCCACGAGTGGAAAATACCACACCTGACCTCGTGTGATGAGCCCCAGTCACAACATAGGTGCAGCAGAGTACTGTATAAAAATTACTTTCAGACTATGTGCTTAAGGTTTATATGAGCATAAATAAATTTCATGCTTAAACTTGAGTCCCATCCCCAAAACTTCTCATTACACATTTGCAAATATTCCAAAATCTTGAAAAAATCCAATATATGAAACTTTTGGTATTGAGAATTTTGTACAAGGGATACTCAATGTATCTTAACTTTAGGCTTTAAACTAGGTGGCATCAAGTAAACTACTGGTTATAGAGTTGATCTAGTCACAATTAAAACACTTTTTTTGGCGGGGGGGGAATGTGTGTGTGTGTACGTGTGTGTGTGTTTTTAATAAATTAGAGCAGATTCCCAGGTATTCTTACCATACTGTTATACTCTCTTCCTTTCAACTCAACTATTTAGTGGGAGAAAAGGGGGAGAGTACTAAAAATAATTCAGGGATTCTGCATACCCCTGGCTTTCTATTGACAATATCCAACCCCTTGCAGATTCAGTCATTTCAGTCAGTCAATAGATATTCACAGGGTGACTGCTATGTGTTCTGCTCGAGGCCTTTGAGATGTAACCATGAAGGTAAAGGAAAAATAATTCCTACCACAGAGACCATATTTTCTGTGAGGAGACAGATATAATAAGAAATCATTTTATGTTGTAGAAAGTGGCATGGGAAAGTCAGGAAGGGGATAGGGGTGAGTGATGAGAAGGGACTGCAACTCTAAGGACAGTGGTCAGGGAAGGTTTCAAAGAGGTCATGACCTCTGAGCATAAAGGCAGATGAGGAAGTGACCATTAACTTTATGAATCAGCTTTGGCTATGGTACCCAGTTCTCTTGTCAAATATTGATCTAAATGTTTCTGTACAGCTTTGTATGTATGTATGTATGTATGTATGTATTTAATTGTGACTGACACAGTCTACTCTGAGTATATCCGATTGTCCTCCAACATGTGTGTGGGCCTCAATCCATTGATGATCTCAAGAGCAATGACTAAACATTCCTGAAAAAAGCAGCAATTCTTCCCCAGGACTGCAATGTGGAAACCCTGCCTGGATTTCCCTTCTGCTGGCTGGTCCTTCAGATTTTAGATTCAAGACTGCAGTATCAAATGTTACCTAACTTTCTGACCCGTCAGTATACTCTGTGGATTATGGACTAGCCAGTTCCTACATCCACATGGGAAGATTCCTTGAAATCAGTCCATCTCTCTCTCTCTCTCTCTCTAAATATGTGTGTATATATGTGATAGATATCTATTGTATCACACTATATCTTATTTATTCCTATCAATCTATCTACCTGATCCCATCTTGGTTGTTTTTCCAAGGAATAAGCCATGTGAATGCCAGTAATGACAGATATAAGGAGGGGGCACAGTGCCAGCAAAGACCTGTAGCTGGAGTGTATTGAGCACGTAGGAGCAACTTAGTGGGGATAAGGTAACTAATCAATCATATTGAACTTCGCAGACCCTTATAGGAACTTTTTTTTTTACTCTCAGTGACATGGGAACATCACAAGGTTTTATGCAGAGTTAATGCTGCTATGTTTTTGGGGCAAGGGGGTAGAAGCTGAGAGACTAAGTTAAAGGACAGAACAATTATCCAGGTGACAGGCAATGATGATGATATGATACCACAGTGGAAGTGTGGGGGTGGATAATGACAATGGTCCTATTCTGGAAATACTTCAAAGGGAGGCAAAATAATTTCTGGGTAAATTTTGCATGAGTATGAGAGGAAGAAAGAATTCAAATACGATTCTAGTGTTGTTGCTCAGGTAACTGGAAAGATAGTAGTACCAAGACCTGACCTGCCCTGACCATACTAAAAATTTTGACTACTCAGTCCCCTCCCTACACCTCTGATCCCACCAATCAATTTTCTAAGTAGCAATGACCACCTGCCACAATTTAGTGACATGGCATGCCTATTGCTCATCCTGCAGCTTTCCCAAATAAAATGCAAGATCCAGCTGGACATGCAATAATATTTTTGTCTTGTTTTATCCCAAGTCAACTATATTTGTCTGGATGTGTCCCAAGCACCTAAGACAGTCTCTGCCTATACTAGTTAATGATCAATAAATATTATTCAATGAACTTACCGATAGAAAAAATGAGGTTCAAAATTACTAAATAGTTTGCCCAGGGTTACTTATCTATGATGTAGTAAGCATGGGGTTAGCCATGCTTCTTTCCAGGCATGTCTATATTTTTCAAACTTCTTCCTAATTATCCCTTTGCTGAAAAACTAAAGTCTACATTGATACCCCTTGAAAAAGATTTAGGTCATGAGGTTCTACTGCTGTTACACTGTGTTGTTTTGTGAAGTGTGGAGGGGGGTGTTGCTGACTGCCACTGTTAACTATTAATAAACCATGCTCTGGACTCACCAGACTGAAGAGACAGCTGGAGTGGGTAATGGAGTGTGCCCAGTCTTTGGAGTCAGGGCCAGGGTTCAAGGCCTACTTCTGTCTCTTGTTAGTTGTGTAATCTTGGTGAAATGAGTAATATTCCCTAAGCCTCCATCTCCTCCTGTCTATAAAACTCATGATATCATCTGTCCTTGTGAATTCACAGGATTATCAAAGAGATATAATGCAACCAGGTTAGTAAATTGTAACTCACCTTATAAATATTTTATTAAAACAGCTTCAATTTGGTAAAACTGAAATAGAGAGCAATTAAATTTGCTCAGTTTGATATTTCAGTATCTCCACTGAAAGACATCTAAGGATACCTAAAATACTTCATTTAGATAATATACATTTCAGGTAATTGGAATCAAGGAGTATGTGTGTAGGACGGAAAATTAATCCACTGATTCATAATAAAAATTGTTTAGATTATTAAGGTTGATTTTTTCTAAAAACCCTAAGTATTAAAAAAGAAACTCTTGTTTTTCTTTTTAAAATTTCTTTTCTCAGAAACACAGTGATTACACAAATAAAATAGAATATCATATAGAAAACATTTAGGGCTGGGGATGTGGCTCAAGCGGTAGCGCGCTCGCCTGGCATGCATGCGGCCCGGGTTTGATCCTCAGAACCACATACAGATAAAGATGTTGTGTCCGCCAACTAAAAAAAATAAATATTAAAAAAAAAGAAAACATTTAATCTGTCAGATTCTGTGTCAGATATTTCAAATTACATTTTTACTCATTTAGTTATTCCATCTTAATATTAGTTGGCATCATTATCTCCTAAGCACTGTGCTAGATATTTCAGAATATATAATTTTACAAGAGAATTTTTCCTCCTGATAATATTCTGTATAGTACAATATTAGAAGTTTCTTAGATCTAGCAGTTAGTGAAATTCAGGCTTTAATTCTAGGAAAATTTACACAAGTTACCACTGAATTTAAACATTTGACTATTAAACAAGGATCTAAAATGAAGAGTATGCTTCATTTAGATAATATACATTCAGGTAGTTGGAATTAAGGAGTATGCATGTAGAAGAGAAAATGACTCATTATTCTGGATATCTTTACTCATATGCAGTATACTTTCAGGTCACAGAAATCTAGATAAGGAAAAAAAATGTGGTGCAATATGTCAACATGAATAATCTACCTTTGCCATTTTCTCTGCCAATTGCAGTCGACCATCGAGTTCCCTTCTGATCTGGGCTGCTTGTTCATCTGCATTATCCAGCTTAAAAATAAAACAGAAATTATACATTTGTGATTATTTAATGACAGTGACATAGGACTAAAGCAAAGATTAAGTGACTCAACAATGTTTGATAAATTCTCTTGGCTACTTATTGAGAATACAGAATATTGTTCAATTGCATTGGTAATTCAGTTAAGTTATCTTTTCATTAGGTTTTGTTAACAAAAAAGGTACCTCTAGAACTCAGTAGGTCAGTTTACTAAGAAATCTAATTACAATAATTCTTTGGTCAATGTGTTTACAACTCTAAGCCAAGAAGCCCCTTTTCCCTTGAGGTTATATTAAGTTATCATTAAGTTTATTCAGGCCATTCTTTTGTCTTCATGTTAAGACAGTCCTAAATAAATTAGAAACAAAATAGAACTAAATAAATGAATCTCTTTTTTCTATTTCAAATTCCCATGAGGCATTTCTAGATGATGATATATGAAATAATTAATGTCTCACTTCTTTGTGCTTTTAAAACTATCCCTCGTTTTTATAATAGATGTGTATTAAGGCTCAACTATTAAAGTAGTATTCTCTTGATTGACATAATTTTCTACCATTTAAGTCTTCAGAGACTCTTCATTCTAGTACCAATAGATTTGCAGTGCCAAGAAATGTTTCTATTTTTACAGATGGGGGCTACATTAGAATTCCATTTTCTTGTTCTAAATCTGATTGAAAACAAGAAAAGCATATTATCATTTTCCAGAAATTCTCATTTATATAAAAAATTATTTTTATTTCTCCAGTAAAATAATCTTTACAATTTCTATAACTTTTAACTTTCCTCATGATTCTTTTTCTGCCACTTATTCAATCTTCCTTTCACTATAAAAATGATAATTAAGGCTATTGAACGTTAAATTTCTTTTGACTTTAATTCATTCCCCTTTCATCCTCAAAAAGCCTGGACCACATAACTGGAGAGTTTCATCAGAAGACTGAATTAGTACTGAGTGCAGTAGAGCTAATCCTTTTGTCCCTTTTCTGAAGAACTACAAATTGACCTTGTTGCCTTAAGAAACAAAAAAAAGAAAGAAAGAAAAAAACAACCTGGAAAAAGATGCATAGAAGAGAACCAAATTAATAAAATGGTGGTTTTAGGAATTAAATGAAGAATCAAGAAAAGAAGAAAAGGGGAAGACACTGCAGTATGACACTAAAAGTCTAGAGGCAACTGGACATATGTGGGGGGGAGGGGGGTTGGAAACGGCTTCTTAGAACAGGCTGGGGAGAAGATGAGGCTGGGGAGAGGTCAGGAGATGGAGCTTCACACACCAATCCGGGACCCTGGAGTTGGTTCCAATGGCGACGGGGCTTCACTGAGAGGTTTCACACAGGGGAATGACATAATCAGATCCAAGTTTTGGAAAGGAAAAATCATTCTGTTTCCAGCAGTAACTACACGTCAGAGAGACCTTGACTGATAGACAAAAATCAATCAAGGTTTTCAAGTATTTCTTACTTTTATACAGAAGAAAAGGTCTTGGGAGCATTTATTTTCATTTTGATGTATTTCTTGTTTTTATAAAGAAAAGCTCTAAGGTATCCTTTCTTAAAAAATATGTTTCCAACTTAAATTTGAATAATAAAATTTATTTTAAAATAAGTTAAAAAACAGAAAAGATTTTTTTTTAAAGTTAAGTCCTTGCTATAAAGGAATTTCTACATCATCTTGAAAAATACACTTTAAATTGTTTTTAAATATTCTTTAGTTGTTGATGGACCTTTATTTTATTCATTTATTTATATGTGGTGCTGAAAACCGAATCCAGTGTCTCACATGTGAGGCAAGCGCTCTACCACTGAGCCACAACCCCAGAGATGCACGTTTAATTTTGATTGATATGAGTCAAAATTGAACAGAAATAAGTTTTTCTTCACTATCTTAAACCAAAGTGAAGAAAGTTTAATACCAATGTAATTACAAAAGAAAACAAAGTGTGATGAGTGCCTGTTCCAGATCACCTAAATCTCTTAGTACAGCTTCTAAAACAAAAATGATGTATCAGAACATTCTAACTATCGTGATATTTAAATACACTAAATGTAATATGGAATATTCTGATCTCTGCTAAATGTAAATACATATATTATTTTTTCCATAGAAAAATAATAAAAAGTTACTTTGCCTCTAGTTATATAGTTCCCCTCCCAGCTCTACAAAAAATTTAAAAAGCAAAAACCAGTTTTTAATACCTTAAAGAGCTAAAATTTTTCAAATTTCACCAAAACTACTATTTAACATCATTAAGTATTTATATCTTCAGATTAACAGCTCTTACTTATTTTTAAATGAAATTGCTTGAGTCTTTCTGGGTTTCACTAGTGTTTTCTTTGTAAGAGACAGTTTTTAACTACTTTAAAAAATATTAATGTCTTCCAAGATGTGATTGTCAGTGTGGACAACTTAGCAGGACTCATGTTTCAAAGTTAAAAGAAGGGCTTATGTAATAGTTCAGTGGTAGAGCACTTGACTAGTTGGGCAAGGTCATAGGTTTGATCCTCAGTGCTGCCAAAAACAAATGCATGCATATATTAAGGCCTTAATTGCATTTGTTTAGAAAAAGATATAGCTTTAAAAATATATCATATTAACTGCCTTCTCTTTCTAAGCCTAAATTTTCAGAGATATAAAGGGTGTTGGTGACCATGTCATTTTTTTTAAAGGGGGGGAGAATATTTTTTATTTATTTATTTATTTTTTTGCAGATGGACACAACACAATGCCTTTATTTTTATGTGGTGCTGAGAATCGAACTGGGTCTCGCCCATGCTAGGTGAGCCCTCTACTGCTGAGCCACAATCCCAGTCCGTGACCATGTCATTTTGTGAAAACCAAAAACCAATCATGTTTACTGTAACAACAACAACAAAACAGAGGTGAGGGAACCAATGCAATAAAAACAAATGAAATTTTAATCGTTCCTTTATGTAATGCTAGACAAAATTAAAAGGGTAAATCATTTGAGTAACTTATTTTTAACATGTAAGAATCTTAGCTTAGTGTTTTCTTTTTAAAAAATATATTTATTTTTTAGTTTTAGGTGGACACAAATATCTTTATTTTCTTTTATGTGGTCCTGAGGATTGAACCCAGTGCCTCACACATGCCAGGCCAGCGTGCTCCCACTTGAGCCACATCCCGAGCCCTAGTGTTTTATTTTCTTTTGAGTACTTGTTTATAACAAACTAATTAAATGTTTACGTAATATAAGTTCATGAACATTTTCTTAAAATTGACTTTTTAAATTGAAATAACTGTAGATTCACATGTGCACTGTTAAGAAATAAACAGATACTCATTATACACTATTCCTAGTTTTCCCAATGATAATGTCTTACAAAATTATACTGTTACATCATAACCAGGACACTGACTTTGATAAAAATCACCCATCTCATTCAGATTTCCTCTATCTTAACTTCTCCACAACTTATAACCTGTAGGTCTGTGGATCTACCAACATAGTCAAGACACTGAACAGTCCTAAAACCACAATGAACCTTCATGACACCTTTTATAACCACACCCTCCTCCCTCTAGCTACTTGCCAGTTTTAGTAAGTTAGGCCAGTTTTTGAGTTTTAATAATGATGAGCCTCGTTAATATATGCTTAAAAATAAATTTTACTAAGGCCAACAGGATTTTCTTTGAATTTCTATTCAAAGAAAGCAGCGATTAACATTAACACGTTAACATTCATAAAGACTGGAATGCATCAGGTCTGGTGCTTCTAATCTCAATCTGAATGTTCACCACCTAAGTGTCATTCACAGTGCCCACAGTCATAAACAGCAGGTGCTCACTGAAAACTCTCAGTTGGGTATTCACAGCTCTAACCTCACTGTGTTCAGGCTTACATTTCCAACTATATACTTACCAATTCAACTTACATAAAGAAAAGCACACTAAACTTCATTAGCATAGATGGGATCTTGATTTCTAGCTCCTTAATCCCATCACTCTGTGAGTAACACCATGTCATAGACCCTACCCACCTACTCAGCTGCTCAAGCCCCAAACCCAGTGTCATCTTAGACTTCTTCCTTTCCCTAACAATCCAAATCCAACCTATCCACCGTCATGTAGAATAAAATCTAGAACCAAGTAGTTGACCAGAATTCAGGTATTTGGGCCTTTGGTTGGGTTTTTTTTAGGGTTTTTAGGGGGGTTTTTTTATTCTTTTCAGGCCTTTTTCTTTTTTTTAGTATGGCTGGAAAACACTATTAAAGTGAAATAATTCTCTTTTGTTTCTGAATCCTATAGAGAACTTAAACAAATGGTTTTATACGTATTAAAAAAAAAAGAAAGAAAGTGGGAGTGGGAGGATAAAAAGAGAAGCTTGAGCAGATTAATTATAGAAGTGTGGCATTAGAATTTAAGATGCTGTTGACACACCAGATCCTAGTTCTGGATTTGGGCTGGAAGGCAAATGTAGCAGAACATGTGGGCTCTCCCATCTGCAGTATGGGTCATGGCAAGTCATCATCCCACCAAGGCCATTCATGATTTTATCTCATTTGCTTTTAATTCCTGATTACAATATTTTATGTGACAATAGATTACTTACCTCACAGATGTCTTTTCCTGGCACAGGAAATCTTACAGGTCTTTTAAAAAGAGGGTCATTCAACCTTGACTATAACAGATGCCCCAAAGTATATTTAATCCTTGAATGCCTCTAGTTTCTACTATACAGAGCATTTTATCACTTTAATTATCAAAATATTTCCCCAATGTGACAAATTTTTAGTACCAAAAAAGGTACTTTTATTTTTCTTCCCACTTATTATGCAGGGGTTAACTATTTCCACATTCAGAATTCTTCAGGATAGGGAATTCTCAACTTGGATCTTTAGGAATCTCTGTTCCTGTTAAAGTGGTAAGCATGATTTTGTACAGAGATGCATTTAGTTTTTTTCCCTCAGAGAATTACTTGATTTTTACAGCTTACTGGCTATTCTCAAAGGTGTAGTTAATGCAAAAG